GAGCCGGACGTAGAGCACTATTCAACAAACTTGTCGGAGCGAATATGCTTGATGGTGATGTCAACTTTTTGACAGAGATGGGGAATTTTTAAAAAAAATTCATTGAGTTCGGTGTTTTTATTTTTTTTTAATATAGAAATTTATTTCAATTACATTCAATAAAAAAGTAAAATTTGATTTGAAGTTGAAGTTCGTTACAATGACCGCCATTTTTTATTTGCTAAACAACAAATCCAAAAACCTTAAATCTTCTGCTTTTCTTTCTTTGCTGCCTCTGCCAGAGCCTCCAATTTTTCATGTTCAGCAATCAATGCTTCTACTTCCTTGGCTGGCAAAATCCTCGTTCTCGTCTTTCCATCAACTCGAGTTAAGGTTGCCATTTCAACTGTAAAAAATAAATAAAAAACAAATTTTAGTATTTTGACACAAAAATCTTCAAAAATAAAGAATTAAAGGTAATGAAGGATAAAATTGTATCTGCTAGAAAATAAATTAACAAGCTGAAGTTGATCAAGACAAAATTTGCAACTAAGTATTTCAAGCTTGTCTTTAAAACATACTAATTGTATCTATGATACACTAGACTGATAAAGTTTAATGCATTAACAAATCAAAATTAACATTTAAATCGTATGTAACTTCAAATATCATCATTAAATTGAGATTAGTTAAGTTTTTGAGTCTAGAAAATATGCTTGACAAAAATTTATTTCTCCAGCTCATGACTTTATCCTTGTATGATGCTTGCTTATATTAAAAGTAATAAGATTATAAGCAATTTATTGACATACCTTTTTCAGCAGTGAGTTTATTCATATCTAACGTTTTTGACATAACTTTAATAGCAAGAGCCATAGCATCTTTCAATGTCATCTCTCCTTCTTTATATTCTTGTTTGAGGGAAGACACAGCCGCAGATGAATTTTTGCCAATACAAGTTGCTTTCCATCCACCATAGTTACCACTAGGGTCGGACTGATAGAGCTGATATCCATAATGACGATCCCATCCCATGTACAAAATTGATACACCAAAAGGCCTTTTGCCACCAAACTGAGTATAAGCTTGCTTAACATCACAGAGCCAAGAGACTAACTGTTCGCAAGGAATAGTTTCTCCATACTGTAAAAGGTACCTCTGACCAATCAGACGTAGTTCATTTGTCAAAACATTGGCATCTGACGTGATGCCAGCCACTGAGCAGACGACATCATCATTTAGTTTATAGATTTTTTCAGAAAAAAAATCCTCATCCAGAAGTTTGTTTGTGTTTCTCTTTTCGGCAGCCAAGAGGATCCCATCATTGGCCAAAATACCAAGGGAAGTACCTGCGTGACTTATAGCTTCCATGGCGTACTCCACTTGGTACAAGCGACCTTCTGGAGAAAAGATAGTCGTGCGGGTATCATATCTGCGAGCCTATGGATAGAAACAAAAAAACATTTCATCTCATTTGCTGCACTGATCGAAATAAACTGAGACGCATCATAAAAAGAGAATTTCTACTAAAACTATGTATTAAAACCATTAAAACATATTATCACTCATTGCTGGTTTTCTTTTCCAATTTTTCAAGTGTTTAATTAAACTGTTAGATAAAATTAATACACGTCAAAATATGAGATGACAATGCAGTTCTCACATAACCTACGAAAACTAGTGATTGTCATAGTAAACAGGGACAAATAGTATAATATTGTCAATGATAAAACTAGAGACAACAACTATAATGTTCACTTACCATTTTCTACAAAAAAACAACGTTGTGTCTATTCGCACCAAATCCACGTAATTACGTGGATATAAAGTTAGGAATTTTAAAGAAAAACGCTACTTTTTCAAATGAAGTATGTCCATGTGAAGTAAAGTTCGCACCAGTGCTCTCGCCTGGGCTCTGGCCTGGGCGTCTACTGAAGCGGGAGGGAACGAGGGAAACGAAACCAGAGACTAGACTTCGGCTTAGCGAACGCAGTGAGAGGATATTAAATTTGTATTCAAGTGTTAATAATGCCAAAAAATGCGGAATTGTTTGCAACGTTTGCAAAACTTTGTTAAAAAACTGTGGGGTTTTGACGTTTTTTATAATTAACAAAAAACTTTTGTTGCGGCGAGAACCTTGAAAATTATCGTTTTCTTGGCTCAGACATAATTTGCAAACACTAAGCATATCTAGATCGTTTGCAAATATTTTGCTGATTAAGGAAAAATATGTGGAAATGCGAAATATGCAATATTAGTTTGCAAATAATTGTTTTTTTATTTGGCTGTTGTCCCCACTATCGGAGTTATCTACTGCAGTACTACACCACACATAGCAAAGGCGCTAAAGTTTAAATATGCTCAACTAATAGTTCGCTCCCGTCAAGCGGCGAAATTCCCGCACGATTATATAAGCGCGATCGAGATAGTACAAGCCCACACTTCTTCTGTGTCACAGGCAGGGAGCACGTCATCAGCCTTACTGATGAATTCTGGTGTGCTCTCGGGACGAAACACCTTTTCCTCTCTTATAGACGATCTCTATATATCTACGTATTATCACGTGTGCGAACTTCACTTTACGTTGACATACTTCATTTGAAAAGGTAGCGTTTTTCTTCAAAATTCCTAACCTTATATCCACGTAATTACGTGCATTTGGTGCGAATAGACACAGCGTTAATTTAATAAATTTTGCAATGCAAAATCTTCATGCTTTAGATAAGGGAGAGCGACACACTCAATATCATGATACTTTAACCAAGCTCATCTCTACATTTTTCCGAGCAGTAAATTACTACTGCACAAGATTTGCATGGTTATATATATCTTTGGTGGATCTATGTCTTTGGTGGCAACCAAGTGCCTCCCATGTTCGTCGTTACTGGCAAGAGTAACGCAGTCATAGACGCAGGGGATGGTCTTGGACCTCTCACCAACTGCATAAGACCTCAATAGTTTCGAGTTCTTCATCTTCCAGCAAAAGGTTATTCTTTTCATCCATGAACTTCATACACTTCATCTTACGAGTCACGAGCTTTAGCTTTAGCTCTTCCGACTTTGTGACACCACCTGGAAGCTAGCACGCAAATTATCGATTTATGCAAAAAAAAAAAAATACTAGGCGACGTGTTTTTATCTGCACATTTCATTTATGCAAATAATTGGATCTGCACATGCCTCAATTTTGCATAAAAAAATAAAAAAATATTTGCGATTTGCAGGACGCAGTTGGATAGTGATATATCGGCAACAAAGGCATATTTGCAACTGCACACAGTTTTAATAAACTGCACATTATCCGAACTTAATTGCACAATCAAAATGTCTATCTGCACAACCTTATTTAATTAATAAATCAATTAATAGGAATAATCCGTATTGTAGCTACGAGTACTCATGCACTGCGCATGTGCAGCTGTTGACATCGCTTATAGAGGGCGTCAAGCCTTGGGTGGGAAAGTTTAAAAAATTCTCAAACAAACATAAAACATTCATGCACTTTTACTCTCTGCTTTCGTATTTTATATAAAATAAGGACTTACTTATCAATTAGGAATTTGTAAAAAAAGCACATGCTCAATTTGAACAGTTCAAATAGAAATACAAATTTCATACATATATATGTACATGCGAATGCAAGAGAAGTGGTGCAGTCTGCTCTGTCTGCTTCATGGCATTGATACATTCTGCATATTTTACACATATACTTTACATTAACCATGAAGCTAGGTTGCAAAGTTGACTACCTCAAATTTGATGTACTCATTTACTCATATAGCTGGTAAAAATACTTTGAAGGGTATGCTAAATGTCGGCATGGAGATCAAGATCAGGTCTTGTGTCAAAA